TGTGCACGAGCTGGCATGATCTTAGTTGACAATTCATTCAGCTCGAAGAGTGACACCAGTTGATGCAGGGCATTGTATTTTTCCTGCCACTAGACCTGTGAATCCGATGCCAAGTGGTCTTGCGCAGTGGAGGCGAATCGAAGAAGGAGTATGAACTTCATCTATGTTATTATCGTTATCTTGACGTTGTGCATCCCCTGATAGCTCAACTTCGTTAGAACATGTTTCCCGGACGCCGATTTCCCTGCGGAGCTCATCAAGGCGGACTTCCAGTCCGACGAACGACAAAACCGAGAGTTAAAAGTCTACGATCCTTTGAGAGGAAATCTCATTAGCATTGTACCATCTTCCAGCACCCCTCAAACATCACTGATTCTCTTTCCGATGGGAGAAACCAGCAATGAATTGAGTAGGTCGTCGTGCCCAATCTCGCCCTTACTTGTTAATCTCAGTTCCAATGCCAGATGTTTCATTTATATCCGCTACTAATTCCGACTCGACTTTTCACGCGCCTGGGCACGCTGCGTCCAAGTTCGAGACACCCATTCTCCAGATCTCAACTCCAAATACATCAAATTCCCCTCTGAAGCGTGGCACCAATCCTGTTTTAGTCAGAACACTCTCCGCGACATCTCTGTTGAGCATTGAATTGGCGGATGAAGGCACCGACTTCAAGGCCACAAGGGAGGTGGACATATTATCTGATGACGCAGGAGGCAAAAACGTGGTAGATGCTGCATTTTCACCCCATGAGTCGGATATCATTGTTGTGAACACCTCTGGAGCACTTTACAACTGCAGTATATATCAAGGAGCAAAGGCTGTGTCTGTAACTTTTTTCGTTCAATTTCACTGAACTCATGCCTTCATCAGGCGGCGCATAGGGGTCAACCAAGTTCGTTTTGAGAGCACAAATGGGGACCAATTTTGGAGGCTTCGTCCATCTGACCAAGGCTACTTCCTAGCGTCAAGTAGCTGCATTCAACATCTCGATTTCAGGGTACGAATTCCAGTGGAACATATTGATTTCTCGACTAACTCAGAAATAGGCGAGCCAGCCTACTGTTGACCTATTTTCCACTGATCAGTTGGGCTCTGTCGTGACATCTTTTGACTGGTCAGAGCGAAAACATCTCCTCACCATTTCGACGACCTCAGAGCTCCTATGGTTGGACAATCGGTACCCGAAGAAAATGCTTCTGAGCTTTAAGCACAACCGAGCGCGTGATAGATCGCTCAATGTCAGAGCTGTACAGTTGGACAGCGGTACGGAACCAGCGAAATATCAGTCCTCTCTATTCACTTACTTTCCATTGTAGGCCCTCTGACTTTCCTAAGTTCGCTTAAAAACGAACTTATCACTATTTATGACGTGTCTCAAGGAAATGACAATCTGATTCACTGTCATTCCGCTCCAACATCTCTACCTCACGACGGAGATATGGGCGCGTCTGAGTCAGAAAGTACATTTTTTGTCCAGCCCGATAGGTCCACCTTTTCCCTCTTGCGGCTCTCTGGACAAGGCAGTCTCCACTGCCAAGACTTTGCTGTATATCACAATGGCATGGATGCACTTCCAAGACAGACTAGTGGCACTAGCCACGAATGGTCCGCTGATGTGCAGAAACTAGCTCAAAGAGCAAAGGAGCTTCAACCTCAGTACGGGCCACTGAGCGCCAGGCATTTCTCAGAGTTAAACCTACGGACTGCGTATCAGAGTGAGCATTTGTGATTCAGTTTGGTCGAATTTGTCCTGATACTGATTTTGGTTGCAGAAATTTTCGTTACGGGGAGTGTTACAGAACAAGCTGCCTCTGAGTGCGAACTTGCCGTGATAACAGAGAAGCTATCTCAGTTTTGGGAAAGGACAAATAATTCTGACAAGGCAATGTTGACCTTGTGAGGCGTGTTCAAACATTTGTCATCCTTAAACGCTAATCCGTTATATCATCAGGTATGATGTCTGCCTTAGCGCTGAAGAAGAGCCAGACGAGGCTTCACGAGCGGACTTTTTTGCTGGCGGGATCATCAACTCAAATCATGGGTACAAAACGCTTGTACGCAACGAGCTACCGGTTCAAGATATTACGAGTGGTGCAGCATGGTCTTGCGATTTAAAGCCATTTCTCCACCGTATAGGGCTTGGTCGCGTGGACCACTGGCAGGAGATGCATAGTGCTCTGGAAGCCTTCAGTTTGTCTTACTCGAACGATGTACCTGGGTCATTCGTGCAACAAGAGGAAGAGTCACGAGAGCAGCTCATCCTCGATTTGGCCCTTTCTAGCATGGCATTTTCATCTCAACCTGTTTCCATGCCCACTGCTCCGATCCAGGTTGACGACGTAGAGAGTATGTCTCTTGCCGCAAAATCTCTGACACTTGACGACGAACTTCCCGAGATTCAGTTTGGCTACCTGCGTCCATACCCCAAGCTTTGTATCGACCATTACCCTGATGCTTCCAAGGACAAGGACGCTGTCGCAGAACCTGCACAGGACGTGAATTTTTCCAGTCCGCTGGGTGTACGATTGTTGTTGAGGGAGTGGGAGGTTGGAACGGACGTTGAGTCCTATACATATCATGATCCATACAATACAGAAGGCGACGGTTCTATTGCTCCTTCCCGAGAATGGGCACTCCCCACCGCACCGGTTGCTACGCAAACGACGACTACAACATCACAGCGCCCTCTGCTGTTTGTTGTGGGTTTCGAGCCCCGTCCACCTCCCATCCATACTGCCCAGAATCACTGGGGAAGGTCCGGCACGCAGCCTCAAGGTTTCACCACAAATATACATGAAAATTATCCTGAACCTTCTCAGCCCTCCCAAGAGTTGATGACGAGTACCCAAGTATTACCTGGACCGTATGGCGGTCGAAATGTTCCGAATAAGAAGCTTGTAAAGAAGAGGCTGGGTGGATTCTGATAAATATGTATCAGTAGTATACGCCCTCGAGATTGGTGTAATACACAGTTGGTAGCATTTCCATTGGTATGGTGGACCATGTATAGACGGGTCGAGAATACGAAATTTAAATATAGGCACATAAACCTGACAGCCAAATATGGGCAATTTTCATGACGCGTGACACCTCCGACACTCGAAGTGTTCAGGCATATATCGAATTGCCTTTGAATATCCCTATCTCCTCTCCAGCTCTTCTTTCTGGCTCCAACTGAGATCACGCCCGGCCTTTCTCGACACAGACTGGCAGAGGCACGAAACTGGACTTTTCGTCTGGTCCAGCAAGAAGAGTTATGGATGGAACAAGGTACGCTCGTAATCTGGACTTTTCGCAAGGTCATAGTTCTTGAAAAGTCTCCAGTCCGCCAATAAATCCTTGGTTCAACCGGGATGGTTTTAACGACGTTTTGAAGCGTATGTATGATGAAAATCACACGTTGATTTTGCAATAACTCCTCTGCTAGGAAATAAGCCAGTGGTCTGCGCTCTCTCAGCTAGCTACATTTCGACCTTTGTTGGATATCCAGTGCGTTTGCCCTTTCTACATTGAAACAACTGACGAATCTGGTTGTTTCATAGTTGGATTCTTTGAAGTCGAGACTACAGACCACCAAGACAAGGATGCCAGTACTCAAGCTTGCTGGTATCGTCTATCGGGAAGAAGGAGTAACCGGCTTCTATAGAGGTCTCTGGATACCGCTTGTCACAATTTCGTTTGTCCGTGAGTTATTGCACGTTGCCTTGTCTGTTCTTCATAAGCCTAACGACAATCCAGGTGCTGCTTCATTCACAATATACAGTGGTACAAAAGAATACTGTCGTAAAAACAACTATTTTACAGGTGATAGAGCTTCTGATGCTGCTCTCGCGGGTGGTCTCAGTGGTGCCTTGTCTGGATCATTGATTTCATTTACCAGTGCACGTGCGTGCCCTTTAACTGTGTATTTCAAACATCTGACATGTGAAACTAGCCTTCGAACTTGTCAAGGTATGTTTACTTGACCAATTTGTCTGGGAAGGTAATCTTCCAAGTCTGTTGACAGGTTCGGAGGCAGCTGGAATACAGCATAGCCGCAACTAAAGGCGTACAAATGGTCAAACCCCCAAATACTATCGATGCTGTCCGAGAAATTTTTCGAACTCACGGGCTGTCCGGGCTCTGGATAGGGTTCCGTCTCCACTTTGGTGAGTGATGTACTTCGCTGTTTGTTACTCTGATTGACCTGTTCTATAGTGCGAGATACAGCTGGCACTGCTTTGTACTTTTTCGAATATGATGCTATGCGACATCTATTGGGCCGCCAGCGCTCGGGAGAGCAGGGACCAACGCCAGCATGGTTGCCGATACCCACATCATTGATTCCCTTCGTCTGTGGTTCGCTGGCCGGCGTGTCTTCATGGGCATTGATATATCCCCTTGATGTGTTAGTCTACATCTTTCCCCTTGCCACAAAACTCATCTTCTTCCCACCTTTTATCAGAGTAAAGACCAAAGTCCAGCAACGTGCTTTAGCTGGCACTCCTCCGAAAGGAGTATGGGAAACCCTCCGTCGCCTCGTGCGCGGTACGGTAGACCACTGCAGTCATGTTACTACGGCTCAAAATTCATTAGGTCCGGATCCTAAGGATCCAAAGCCAGTCCTTGCTGGCATAGCACGCATATATCGCGGTCTCGGCGTCAGTGCAGTGCGGAGCATTACGACTCACGGGCTCCTCTGGACATTCTTCGATATCACGTCGCATTATATCGACCATCTACCCTGACTTTCAAAGCGCTACTGACGGGATCCCACCTCGCATCTCACTTAGAGACAAGGCATGTACTATAGCATCTGGTTTAGGATTGCCTCGTCTATTCACTATAATCCATATCATCCGAGATACTTATCAATCAGTATATGTCACCTAAAGTTGCATAACAATCTCTTTGTGCGATATACACTGCAAGGTCATGCTTATCAGATAACTTGAGCACACTCACTGTCCTAGAAATGGGGAATATACCAGAACGAATAATCTCGTCGCAACTCCGTCGCCGGGGTAGCTCAGCTGGGAGAGCAACAGACTGAAGTAAACGATGTCTTCTGGAGGTCCCGTGTTCAATCCACGGTCCTGGCATTTATTTTTTGTCAAGGTTATAAGATTTATGATGTCTTCAAAACGCGATGTGCACACAATATGAACGTAACGATATCAAGCGATGGTATACTTTCCATAGTCTTTCTCTGGGTCATATATCTAGACCTTGATTAACAGGATATAGACACAGGAGGGATGCCTTGCTTACCTCCCATCGAGAGGCCGGAAAGATGTGCTTAAACCGTTGGTACCAGCTCCTCTCCACCACTTTACCAGCGTGTGACTCATCTTTCTCCTTAGTCGCATCAGCAAGCAAGCGAATATCATCATGAACGTCAAAATTAAACAGTGGTCCGCTCTTTCCACGAGCTTTGTTGATGATGAAGTCATAGAACGTATGATGCTATCGAAATACATTGAAATGAATAATCAACAGGGAAACTCAAACTCAAACTCACGTGAGGTATTATGAGGTCCTCCTTGATGTACATCAAGTTGTCAACGCTAACGCCTCGCAATTCTGGGAACTGCTGCCGGCACTTCTCCAAGAAAGCGCTAATGGTGTCACCTTTCTTACACTAAGGCATCTCGTGAATGAGCAATTGAGCGCCAGATCAATATGAGAACATACCACAACCGACTTCCTGTGACCACTCCCATCCCAATAAGAATAGGTGATCTCGATTTCTTCCTGTTTAAGTTCCTCTTGTCTGCGAATCCATTCTTGGCGCAACCTTTCACGCTCTTTCCTCTCCGCTTCCTCTCGTTCGCGGTCGGGGAGGAATGATGTATCAACATTAGGATTCTTACGGAACTTGGCACGCTTGGACGCTTGTTCACCGTTCTCAACCTCAGGAGTTTGACGTGACGAGGTGTCTCCTTCGACGTCGCCTTCGTCATCCATGGCAAATGATAAGGTAGCTTTTGTCTTCTTGCGTTTCTTTACCCTCTTTGTTTCGTCCCTAAACAAATCCTCCACGGAATATAAGCCATCTTTCCACACAGTTGTCACGGCACGAGAATGGCATTGGATACTGAAAATAACATACTTGAGTTCGTTGGTGCGAGCAGCCTCGCGTGCCTTTGCCTCCTCCAGCTCTTTCCTTCTCTGCTGAAAGTCCTCCAACCTCACCAGACCGATAGTTTGGTTCTTGAGGGTCTCCTCCATGGAGTCATTTTGTCCGACAAATTTGTTGGCTGAGGGACGAGATTTTTCTGTTTCGTTGATGAGAGTCTGTTTTTGGCGTTCATACTCTTCACGATTCTGAGCGCGCTGCTTGATGAAAGCATCCTCGCGACGTCCCTCAGCGTTGTTAGTAGCCATGGAGGTTTTGGTTGCGTGAAGCTGTGGTGTGAAGCGCGAAGTTGAGTCGCGGAGTATGAAATTACTTTTCAAGCTTCAAGCGTTGAAGCTAGCTGTTCCCTTCTAATTGTTTGTCCGAGTGAGCCATGGTCCACGTCTTGGGGGTGCAGCTCCCAGACTACCAGTATACAAGGGTGCGCTATAGCTAATTATTTCTAAAAGCTTTTCTCACTGTCAAGTTAGTTCGCCCTGACTGCATTCTATGGCATTGGCCATAAAACTGCACATCGACTTTGTGCACGTCTTCAAATTCACGACAAGTGCAAAGTTCGGAGTCTAACACCCCATCAAATCACAGAACTTGCCGCGTTCCTTTCCTCTCCTTCTACTTCAACACCTATTCCTCGCTTTCCATTAGCCACGTCGTCCTATAAGCCTCCCCCGGCCTCCACTCCACTCGCGGTCCTGAAGGAGGAGACGAAGAAGCTCTCACAAAGGGCATGGGCAGATCCATTGAGAAACATCAAGATTGAGAGCGAAGCAAGGAGAGTGGTCAAAGATAATATTGCGCACCAACGCATGATAGGCAGTTACGTTGGCAAGAGGCATGCCATGGGTCTGCCCGTCCGCGGCCAGAATACCCAAAACAACGCGCGGACCGCGAAGAAACTCAACAGGGTCGATCGTCGTGGCTGAGGGTGTTCATTATGTATGTTCCTATATCCTCGGAAGTTTACCGGACCCCGTACTTGTCCTGTATTCGTTCTTCTAGATAATACACTATTTCTAAGTACATCCGAGGTGGATTCTCTAGTCGTCTCCGACTGGCACTTCTTCTTCCAGGTACTTCACCAATGTCACCCGAATCTCCGTGCTCTCGTCACCGCGAAGTACATCAGACAAAAATTCCACCTGCACCTGCATCTGGACCTTTGAAATTGGCGTGATACATAGTTGCGCCGATTGTTTTAGTTTGTGGACTTACCATCTCAAGTGCTCCTCTAAGAACACCGCACAGCACGTTACTAAACCATAACCCTCCCTCCAAAGCTTCGTCAGGGAGTTCAACAAACTCGGCCAAGGGATTCTCGTCCAGGGTCAGAATGAAAGTTGAGCCAGGAACTCCTGACTGTTTAGCTGCACTGGTCGGGCGGGAGGAAGGTGGTGGAGCACCAGAGTGCGTGACTGTTGGTGTGATATTTAGAAATGATTTAAACCCGACCTTCAAATGAGGTGCCTCTAAGAACGTTAGCTCAGGGGTAGTAGTAGTAAACGCACACCTTCGCCACCACCTCGCCTACTTCTCGGAAGTCAGAGCAGCGACCTAAAGAGCTCCTTGCAAGGAAGTCCTCGATCAACCGTGTTCCAATGTTATATCCCATTTTCTCGAGTTGCTTGTTCACTTCAGCATAATCTTCATAGTCCTGGATCAACTGGACGACAAGGGCGCCATATGTAAGAGCAAACAACTCTGAATTCTGTTTTGCGGTCAGTTGGGGTCTCATTGACCCAAAGACGCGACGCAAAGTCCAAACCTCACGATTTTATCTGTGCGACTTTTCCAAAGATCTTCTCCGATGGCTTTGTACTGTTTGCTCGTCGTCGCCATCGTCGACGAAAGTAAGACGAATGACTAGCTGCCAAATTGGGCTGAATCGAAAGAATGAATCCACGTGCCTGTCAACTCTAACGAACCTACTATCATCATCAGAACTGCTCGAAAAATATGTCACGTCCAGAGTACCAGGCCCCGCCAGAGATTGTATATTTTATTTTCGCCGACTTATAGGCGATGTGAGACTGATTTTTGGACATCTATAGTATTATGGCGACGCTGAAGCCAAAAAATACACTCAAAAGTATGCTTGTTCATATATGCATCCCTTGCCGTTCTCAGTGTCATACAAGCACCCGTAATCAACAGATCCAGGCGGATATGACATACCGTGCTCTTGAGTTGCTCAATCTTCCTCCGGATGAGCCTGCTTTTCTGTTAGATATAGGATGCGGATCGGGACTTTCAGGTGAGATTTTGGAGGAAGAGGGACACATTTGGACAGGCGTAGATATCGCGCCAAGTATGCTCGGTGAGTTCCAAGTTTTTAGCATAGTAAGCACTAGATGGGCTGATCATAACCAGAGGTCGCACTGCAGAGGGATATTGATGGCGACCTTTTCTTGCAAGACATCGGTCAGGGATTTGGTTTCCGACCAGGAAGCTTCGATGGAGCAATAAGGTCCGTGACTGGACTTCCTTTTCGTGATTTTATCTTATAGTCTACTAGTATATCTGTCTTGCAATGGCTTTTGAATGCTGAGACATCCCATCCAACATCATCCCCACCACACCGTCTCACTCGTTTCTTCACGACTCTACACTCTGCTCTTCGAAATCCATCCCGAGCAGTCTTTCAATTTTACCCAACTTCCGACGACCAGATACAACTGATCACTTCGATAGCCCAGAAGGCCGGTTTTGGTGGAGGTGTCGTCGTAGATTACCCAAATTCCAAGAAAGCAAGGAAGGTGTTCCTATGCTTGTTTGTTGGCGGAGGAGGAACGCAGCAGCAAATACCTAAGGGTGTAGAGGGTGAAGACGACGAGCAAATCAGATTCGAGAGAAGAAGGGAGAAGGAAAGGAAGAGGGATGTAAGTGGGAAGAGAAAGAACATGAAAGACAGGGATTGGATCCTGAAGAAAAAAGAGGCAAGTCAGGTGGAAACTGATCATTCCTATTTACTCACTGATATCATTAGTTGTATCGCCAACGAGGAAAAGAAGGGGTACCAAGAGATTCAAAATTCACTGGCCGCAAGCGCAAGCCAGTCTTCTAGTGGAATTTCTCGCAGTGCTTCACGAACACCGGATCTTCGTGAAAGGATACCATACAAGTACCTACGTCTACTCATGTCCGTCTCTCCACAAATAGCTCGGGGAGGGTCTTGACCGCATCCTGAGCATTGTTCCTGATGAACAAGCCTTGGAGGGCAGCCATGCTAATTTCCCTCCCATTAGACATCTCTTTGGCAGTTAATTCCTCTACCTGCTGCCCCATGCGTTCTACAACCTCCGGTTGGACAGACTCACTATCGCCGTAGAAACGTGTAAAGAGCGTGCGTGACTGTGTGGGTGACGCATTATCAACAAGCACGCTTAGATCAACACGCCCCGGTCTGATGAGTGCAGGATCCAATTTTCCAAAGTGATTTGTCGTCATGAAGATAATCCGCTCTTCTCCCGAGGCAACACCATCCAAAGCGTTCAAAAAGCCAGAGAATGTGACAGAGGACTGATACCTGTAGTATATGCTGTTAGCCATGCGGTCCGAAGTATCAGACTCATTGGCTCACCCGTCCTCGCTTGTTTGCACGCGTTTGTTAAATGCGGCATCTACGTCTTCGATGAGTATAAAGCTACGCTCTGGGGCATTTGATAACAGGTGATTGAGTTTATCATCGCCGAGTCCTCGTTCCGACAAATTGAGTAGACATATATCATATGATAACGATCCTGCCAAAGCTTGAATAAAGGAAGTCTTCCCTGAACCAGGAGGGCCATGCAGGAGATATCCCCTTCGATAAGGAATGCCCCGGTCCGCATACCATTGACGTCGTTGCAAGAACGCCTTGACATCTTGTTCTACCTTTTCACTTACACCCTTATCCAGCACGACACTATGTAGTGGACGCTTTCGCCGAGGTTGACCAAATGGCTTCCATTCGATCCCCCATGCGGT